AACACTCCAATATCCAGCACATTGACCGTGCCGGTCCAAAGTCTGCGCCAATTGCACCTCTGCTTCCTAGCAGAGGGGAATTCATGACTCACCAAAGCTCCACCAGGAGACGTGCGCGCAGCGCCCAAGGTCATCGACCTCCAATCAATCTATGGCTCATGATGCTCCAACCATGCCATATCCATAGTCACTGTCAAACTAGTCAAAATTGAACGACGAGTTACTTATTCTTCTTTTGATTTTTGAATCCAAGTCTAAGACTAAGCAGCGTTTCACACTCTTAAAGTCAAGAAACTCAACACCGAGGTCCACAGGGACCCTCTTAACAGTGACACAAGTCTCCGTCGCTATGCAAACTGTGACGGTGTCACTCAACCGCACTCTCAGCGCCTCAGCATACAGCTGACTTCCTTCGCTCGTGGACCGTCGAGCATAATTGCCCGACGCCCCAGAATCGATAAGAATCTTCCATGGCTTGTCAAAGCCCTTCACGGTCGCTTTTACGATCAGCAAGCCCGGCTTGCATACACGTTCCGTATTTAAGAGCACGGAGCTCTTGTGCCTGCTGCCCTCTACATATTTGAGTCTCAACAGAACACAGTTCTCCTCGAGTAGTGCGTTACGCGCCTACTGGGTCTTCTTGTTATCTCGCGACAAACCAGGCTGGTGAGAAGCGGGACGTCGGTTTGATGAACCTTCACGTGCCTTGTGCAAGGAACAACCTGTCCGAAGGTGACGGGTGCCTCCACAAACAAACCACCGTTGGTTGTTTACATGCTGCTCATCAGCTCGGAGCTCTCCTTCCTCTTTTTCAGCATAGCTGAGATCCATTGACTCAGGCCCGCTCGATTAGCTCTGAGGGTGTGCATTCCAACCGAGTCGTGGCGACTTGAAGGCATTCAATGCCACATTCACCGCTTTTTCAAAAGAAGATGGATGCACACGGAAGACTTTCATTCTGCTCACGTCAGTGTGGAGGCCCTCCATAAAGACGGTAACTGTGATCGCCTTGGGGAGACTTCGGCTGCCATACCGGCAATGACAGTTCTTAACTCTTCGACGAAGTCCACCAACTCTTTCTTGCCCTGTCGGGTGGCAGAAATCGCGATCGCACGCAATATTCCTGGTTAGGCGGCGAGAACACTCGCAAAAGCTGCAGCTTTAGCTGCGTTCAGAAAGAAACGCCGCTTTAACCAAAGTACGGCACGTTATTGCCCATTCCCGCGCTCGGTCCCCAAGCTTGGAGATAGCTAGCGCCTCCCGCTGTTGCTCGTTCTGGAGCATGGCGGATGCCATATCCATCTCGACCTCCCTCACCCAGAGCAGGAGATTCTTCCCATTCTTACCCTCAAAGGTCTCAACGCTCACAATGAGTGGCCTGCGACGGGAGGAGTCATCCGTCGTCGACGGCGATCTGTGAGACCACCTCTCTTTGAGAGTGTTCTTTGCGTTAGGGCTTGGTCTACAGCCACTCTACGTCTACTGGAGCTTGTACTTTCTCTGTGATGGGCTTATCAGTCGGTCCTGGGAAACTCAGCCAAGAGAGAAAGAGCTTTGCTATGCGCATTTCCTAAAAATTACCGCAGCTATAGCATCTGTGGTCTTACGGTGAAGCTCAGAATCCAGAATATCACTTTCCCTTACCAGCGACTCTAATGGCGGTTAATCTGACCTCAGCTTGCCTTTGGTCTATTGTCGCTTGCGTGTTCATAAAAGGGTTATCACAGCTTCCTCGCGCAGATTTAACAATCAAATTCAAATTCAATTTTGAAAAATAGTGTATTTGCCTTGGTTAAGGTTTTGGGTGCTCTTGGAGGTAGCGGATTGCGATCCACTACACCCGTAGCACTCGTACTGGTTCTGGTATAGAACGTTAGGTCGGTGACCTGAACCAAGCTTCTTTTAAGCAAAGAGCTACGGCAGCCCCGCACTTGGTAGCACTCGTAGTCAATCTACGCCTGAGTAGTTACGACTGATCCTCTGTGAGAATTGAGTAATTCTCCTATTTGCCCTAGGGCCTGCAGAATGAGCTTAATAAGCTGATGTCTCTGCTTGGCCCTGAGGGCGTGGAACTCTTTATTTCGCAAGGACCCGAAATGATAAGCGTCCGTCTACAGGCGTTGTCGAGCTATGAAGATACTCTGCTAGTTAGCACCTAGAGAAGAAGCACCTTCATGGTGGGGTCCACCTCGTTTTTCGGATGTAAACGGTTTAAGCGTGCCTCATCAGCGCTTTTCAATTGGTGAGCGAATACAGGTGGGTGATTACCGCATTCGACCCTAATGCGTTCATATGATTTTCGCACAATTATACCGAATTGCTTTCATTACGATTGTACTAAACGTGTAAGGATTAAGTGTGAAAGATCTTGTGCTCCGCAAACCCGTCTGAAAGTATATCATGTGCATTATACAGCATTCTTTTCTTGAGATCCTCGTAATGAGGTGCCACTAGATGATGAGTGTGAAACAGGTCAGTTGCAAGACTAATACGAAAAATAGAGGTTTAGACACGCGAGCAAAAGCTTTTAAAAAAAGTTACTCCGAGTTCAAGAATTTTTGGTTAAAAAGACTTGTACATGACTTATCTGGCCCGTACACTGAACATTTTGACCTTGTCGACGCGCGACGTCACAATCGCGGCATGCGACAGAATATTGTTTGGGTAACGCAACCAACACAGCATAAAGCCGACTCTGCTCTTATCGTACTTTGAAAATATACCCGTTAAGAAGAAAAATCATGTGTCCATTGTCTGGGAGAGGTGAAATTCAATACCGCTGTGTGCAGCAACACCTGATCTGTGCCGAACACAAGCGGCAACAAATCAAGTATTTAAAACTTTACCGGAGCATAATTCATAGTAAGGAACTGCTTTTTGTAATTCAATTAATTCTGCTCTGCCAATGTAGCTAGCGCGTTCATGGTCACCGACATCTTCTCAGAGTAAAACATAGTTTATAATAAGGTCGCAGCGTCACAGACGAAAAAAACGACCGATCGATAATTGGACGGGCCGGAATCGAAGCACGCTTAAAGCTTTCTTTCACAGCGTCCAGAGCAGCTTCTGCTGCCGCAAACCATCTTTATGTAAATTTCTCAATATGAAGACTGGGAAGTTATCGTGTCATATCGGCGTAAGCTGCAGTATACTTGTCCAAGTAGCTGGTCAGGTCAGACCACTTTTTGCCGATTTATCTTGACTTAAATTTTTGCAGTTTCTGCTTGCACATTATGTCTCTCAATCATATCAAAATGCGATTTTTTTGGCGCAAAACATTTTTTCCTATGATGACAAGCGACTATAGAAACACATACACTCTAGCACTGCCCCCAAAGTTTGATGTGAACGCCCGAATCCGATTACCTGTGGTCTGTAAGATTAAGGGCAAAAATATGGTCGAAATTGGTTTGTGCATAGGCGCGATATGGTTTCGTTGGCTGCGGCATCCTAAGATTGTCGCTGGTGTGTTTGACAGTCCTCGAGGTATTACCGGTGAGTCCCCACACGGAGAATCTTACTGTAGTGAGGTAAATATCTCTGAATCGCCTGAGTAGCTAAAACAGCCAAATAGGAAGTCAAGAACGCTAAACAGAGAGCATATAACCATTATGATCTAAACCACGTTCTCTCTAAAAAGCGGTGTTTGCGCTGACATGCCAATTGCATTTCATAAACATACGCATACACAGCTCACCACTTGCTGACAGACCTTCTGATACCGAAGTCCGTCGCAGAGAAGGGAAGTTTGCACACTTTTATCAAATTTTCACACTAAATAAACCAATATGACGCCACATCGAATCAACATATGGTTCTAGAAGCTACGTCAATTGCATGATAAAACCCGCCGATCCCAGGTTGGACCGCGTGATATCGTGATATCGTCTCAACAAAGAGTAAAATAGGTTCTTAGGATACTTGGGTATAACCGCCGCACTCCTTACTGAAGTATCCCCTCATTCCGGCCTCATTGATGACAGACGGTAAGCTCGGCCTTTACTTCAATACAAATCGTGCTTTCGGTGAGTACGCCGCCTTGCAATCCTTTTCATACATCACCAAGAAATAACAGTTCGAGCTCAGCAACAGGTTCTAGGATCTAACGCTGCTTCATTACCACGCTAAAGGCGCTTCTTCTCTCTAGCAATGGAGAGATATGACTCACCAGAGCCCGATTAAAAGGGAGGTGTGTGGCACCCAACGTGTTGACTTACAGTGGACTCATAAAGGAGTGTTCCATGCTTTCGAAGTCACCAAACTTTGTAATTTGAGCCAAAAAGAGTGTTCAACGCTATTACTAGCGGTCCCGTCGCAAGAAGCATGGATATCAAATCCGTATTCGGCATTGTCAATGTTTTTTGCTCTTTCTAGGGATTTCGACAGTCGCGCGTCAAACATAATTACTCAACGCTATTTGCGCTGGTAGATCCTTTCGCGGGTTTACAAGCTCCAGGAAATTGATATCGACAGTCTATCACCAAGAGCTTTAAATCCACCTCTCTTTAAGAAGTTCACTCGCCTTAGAGCTCGTCATGACCTTTACAAGAAGCATTATAGCCAAAATGTTCCAGTATGTCATCATGCGCCAACTAAAGCTTGCGGGGACTTACCGGTCGGCTGTGGATAAGGTGCTTAACCCTTCGTACCATTTAGCCACGAGAGGAGGGTCTTTGCAAAGGGTAATTGCTTAAAATTACCACATCTGTAGGTACCACGGTGTCTATAGCAGCTAAATAATCGCATTCCATCCTTCTTAGCAGCTTAAAGGTCACTTCTTTTCACCCCAGCTTGCCTGAGGTCCGTCGTCTCTTGCGTGTCCATAGAGCAACCACCTTTCGCACTTTAGTCGTCCCTCGCGGCACGAAAAGGGTCCTCATTATTTAATGCCTCTCCCACCGCTTTATCAAAAAAGTAGCGTTGCTGTGGAAGGGTGCGATGTGTTGCAAATACAGTAACGAATCGATTTCCAAGAAGTTTCGACCTTCTCCCAGCTGTCAATGTACTCAAACTTGGATGTAGTCTCGCTATATCAACGTACTTGTTAGAAATTATGACAATCAGGACGTTTGGCCTGGCGAGGCAAACAACTGCGGTATCTATTGCTTCTTTTTTGTGTCGGAAATACCTCATATAGCTGTCCAAGCCATTTCCTTTGAGTTTCTTTTCATATAGCGGCCAATCCACTGCGAGGCCACAAGCAAGTACCGTTTCAGAGTGCGTCCTCTCAGTTTCAAAATCACCAGCACGACGCGCCCTCGCTGGGTTCGCAGAAAGCCAAAAGCAATATGTCGTATCCAGGACAAGCTTCAATGCTGTCTTGCTTTATAGCGCTCTAAATGTGTTAATGATGCTCCAACAGATGTCGAATTGGAATTTTCATGGGTGTCTCACTAGCGCATTTCCATAGCTCGAGAACGCATCCACCCCAGCGTTGACCAGTCTTGAAGTTTAGGCTGCGCCTTGTAATAATCCCCTCGGGCCTTGAATGAGACACAAGCTGACAAGCCTTTTTTCTTGCTCTGAATGAGATAGTGAGCATTTCGTTTTACGTATCATCTACACAAAAAACAAGTCTTATCCTGTTATGGCTCCTATATTTGGACGACAGGGTGTAACGAGATACGCTGTAACGGGGTTACACCTACTGCAGCGGGGCTGCCGTAGCTTTGCGCTTTGAGGAAGCGTATCTTACGTCCCCGACCTTTCGTTCTATACTTAGAGCAAGTACGAGTTTAGCGAATCGCAACCCGCTAACTCCAAGAGTAATTATTGCCTTAACCCAAGGCAAATTAAAATTTCCATTTAAATCCAAAACTGACTTTACTTATTCTATCTGCGGCAAAGCCGCCTAATTTTAAAAGCATAGATTTCCAAAATATGTATAGTGAAATCTAAATACATGTTTAACTACTGGCTATCCAGCCCCGTGGCGTATTCTTTTTTGGGTGTGGTTAAACCATGCCCATCCGGTGTGATACACACTTCTTTACCAGGGTACGTGTACCCCGTTACACCTACCCTTTTATGAAAGGGCGAGTCGCACAAGATGGTGTGACCGTATATAGGTGTGGGTCGTGGTGTAATCGCACAGTGGTGTGGCTACACTGTAACAAAACGCCACTACGTGGCAGAATTGACAGTAGAAATCCATATTCCTATATTAACAAGGTATCTCTATAGTAATTAGGAAAACCTAGGGTTTTAGATTCTGCCGCAATTGAAACAATTAAATACATTATAAATTTTGAGCGGAGGAATCTCTTTACCTTGACTAAGGTTTTAAGTACTCTTAAAGACAGCGGATTGCGATTCGCTGCACTCGTACTGGTTCTTATGTTCTTATTAAGAACGTAAAATCGGTGACCTTAGCTTAGCTTCCTCTAAGCAAAGAGCTACGGCAGCCCCGCTGCATAGGTTCTCTACGAAGCTGTAAGTAAACATTACACTGTTTTCTTTCGGTCTTAAATCGAAGCTCAGAACCACCATATCATGATCTCATGATTAGTATCATGGTACTCTGAAATGGAAGGCTCTAGGGCACGAGGACTATCCAAATGCGTTATATCATTTTGGGAAGTAGACAGGTATTATCAATTGATATCATTAAATAAATTTCATTTGAGTTTGAGCATCGTCTCAGTGGCGGTCGATGAATCCATCCTTTATACGATGTGCGCGTCGCATGTAACCTCCTGGCGAAGAGCCAGACTCAATATTGCTAGCACTCAGTGACCTAAAGTCGTTGTCCTTGCCTGTGTATCGTGTTCCACAGGAAGGCATTTAATCGCCTGTGAGATTCGCTGGTTGGATCGCTTCTCAAAAAGTGACAGATAAAATTAGACTGGCAAACATTGTCCATCACATAAAGTGGTGGATGTAGCGAGGGTGCCCTCGAAGGGTAGTGAGGGTGGTGGGTATATCATAAATTTCAGTGCATATTACTGAAGTCAATGTTGAGTGGTCAGCATCGTGCATTATTAGAATCGCTGACTAACACAACAGCCCAACGGATTTATTTGCAACGTTTTGTTTGTTTCAAAAACCAAATAGTTCTAATTTTCCGCTGTCTTATATCGATGTCCAAGTACCCATATTCATTTACATGAAATTGTGTTAGTTTCGCCAATCTGCTTGTTTTGTACATATTGTCCTCATGTCTACAAGCCAGGTGACGCGCTCTACGAAGCAGGTGCATACTCTATTTCAGTGCACATCCTCATACATATCATTTTTAATTCATTGTTGCGACTGCAGTTATATCGCGATTGCTTACGACTGGCCAAGCACATTGGCGGAAACGTATGTGGCTGCTATTCGTTCCGCAATTTGTGATTATCAAAACTGACTCTTGCCAACCAACTGTATGAGCAGAGCAAAAAAGGTCAAGCTATCAAGGACCTAATACGACGGGAGTTTGACAAGGGTCGTAGTGAAGTGGACATCGAGAAGATCGAGACACTAAAGGCCAAGTGCGTCACCATTGCTTGTTGTTTTAAATGATGTAATTGCTGCTTACCACATGAAAACGACCATTAACAAGATGTATGGATGTGCTATATTGTTAGTGCCGTCCGTGGACTGAGCAATTACCTCATGCTGGCTAACTCGAGTAAGGACCAGCGACTGCGCGATGCTATGAACAAGAAGTCGTCGCCGGATACGTCGACTTCCAATCAGGCTGAGTATCGAGACTTGTGAGCTTAAGTTTCTGTAAATAGGTCTCTAATCATACTGAGGTGTCTAGCTATTGTGCGTCCCAGTAGTTGACTTTGACAACGCTAATGAGATAATTTAGATGTTTGTCTAACGCTCAATTTGATTAAGCATTAAGAATGGAGATCTAGCATTTTCAAAAAGTGAAATTGTGTAGGTATCAACTAAGTAAAATACGTGAGGTGCAGAATTTAGATCCACGTCAAATTTGCAGATTATTTCGGAATGAATCGCCGAGCGTTGGCACGGAAGGCTGCAGGTGCCAATGTGGTGCCCCCCCAGGGTAGCACTGGCGCAGGTATGGAAAATGTAACGAAAAAGCTGGAGCTACAGCTAGTGGAAGGCAATTTTTACGGCGCATTACAAATGTATAAGACGCTATTTATGCGTCTGCTCAAGGGAGACGAACCCAATGAAGATCAGCAAGAACGTGCGGTGGCGCTCGCTTTAGAAGCAGCGCTTAAGCTGATTGAGCATGACCAGACTACTGCATCCATTGAGATGGCTAATCTTATGATCTCCGTTTATATCGACTTTCACCACCCAGTGGACGACGCGCACAAGCAGCGTATTCGACAAATCGACGCGGCATTTCATTCTAAACCCCAATTTTGTGCTGATCTGACCACTTTTCTCAAAAACGCTGTCAAATGGTCAGCAAGTGAAGGTACACGCCAGCGTGGAGATCCTGAATTACAGCTACTTCTGGCGCGTGCTTATCAAGTTGTTGGAGATTATCCTCACGCTATGAAGCACTTTTTGCATGCCGAGAACCCACAGGAATTAGCTGATACACTGTTTCAGTGGTCTTCACATGGATATCCAAATGAATTCGACTTATATCTTGCTCGTGCTGTATTGCAGTAAGTGCGTGGCGTTAAATACTTCTGAGTGATTGCTGTATTTAGATACTTGTCTTTGTGTACTATGTAGACTGCTCAGTCTGGAGAATCTACGTGACGCAAATAAAGTTTACGAAGTGTACGTAGCTAAGTGTCAGAATGCAAGTCGTCCAGTGGACCTACCGCTATTTAATTTCACGCGATACTTGCTGCTGACGCTGGAGGTGAGAGCAGAGTCCAACCAAGTCTTGCATGTATTTCTCGTCTGATTTAGCTATTAATTTATCTATCGCTATGAATATCCAGCGCGATGCATTGCCTCTATTTCAGATGCTTCAAGATCGCTACGCTCCTGCACTTGCTCGCGATGCCAGTTTGAAAAACGTAAGCATTAGCCTTAGGTCATCACGAATCCTCATCATTGACATATGCGTATGTAGTATTTAGACATCATTGGCCAGAAGTTCTATGGATTGCAACCCTCGCGATCAGGTCTTAGCGCTTTGCTTGAGATGTTTTCTGGTGGCATGCAATGAGCACTAAATGACGTAGAATGGATACTATTATCATAACGCACTGAGTTAAGAACGTAAATGAGCTTTATATTTCAAGAAATTAAAGATACTTCAAACTCATTTTCTCGATGAAGTAGTGTGACGATCCAGATCACCACCAAGCGTGTTACTTGTGGCCGGTCTTGCCGCTGCACGGGCCTGTTTATCAATCTCTTCAATACGCAAAAGCGTCGCCGACTTGATTGGCATAATTTTAGGTTTACAAAGTACTTCAGTTAAATTGCCACGCTCCGAGTACACGAGACCAGTTTTAGGTAGAACCTCTTGGATTTGTATACGCTGCTCAATGACAATGTACTTTCAGGCTTCGTACGGTCGGATACACACAATCACAATTTCTTACCTGCATGTTTGGGACAACAAAGATTTCTGGATGTGACTGGTCAGATTAGAACTATCATTTTCTATTGATGTTATCACATCGACCTTTAAATTTTGTTCTTCTTATTCTTTTTCTTGTCCTGCTGCTGAGACTTTCGCTTCAGATTTTCCACCATGGCGTTCAGATTCTGTTTACTGTTGACAGTAGTTGTCGGAAAAGCTTTAGAATTCAAAGCTGATGATGCATCCTGATCATAACGTTGCCGCCGCTCCTTAAAAATAGCCAACGTGGCTTCCGATTTTTTAAATTTCGGATCCGTTGGGTCCAGCTGAAAGTGAGAACTCTTTGAGTACAACCCGCTAAAACGTGGGTCAGACGCGTCAAATTGGAAATCTTCCTGCAACCCGCCAGTGCCTTTGTGTTTGGCTAGTTTCTTCATCTCCTTGGCACGACGCTTACCTTTTAAATATTTGACTTTTTCTTGCTTGGCAATTTTCTTCATGTCAAAATCACGTTCATTTAAGTCATTCTCACTCTCCTCGGCCCCACTATCATCGCCTCCAATAATCGCTTCGCGCAGTAAATTTGCCTCTTTTGCCCCACGACCCTTCTTCTTCAATACTTCACGCTGTTCACGCTCAAGTTCTTTCTGTCGCGAACGTTTCTCATGCAATTTACGATTCTTTTTCTGTTTCTTTTCGCGTGCGTACCGCTCGAATGGCGTCTCATTCTCTTCAAGTTCTTTCTGTCGTTTTGTCTTTAGTATGTCACTAGCACCGGGTGTAAATGACAGCTCCATATTACCATCAGCATCAGCTCCGCCCTCTTCCTCGCTACTATCTCCATAGCCTCCCTCAGAAACTTTGTCTTCATCTTTATCCTCTGCGTCACTTCCCAAGAGCATCGACCGGTAGCGATTGCTCAATTTTTTCAATTTGGCCTTGTTTTTGAGTGTCTTTCGGCTGTCTGGATCAGCAGTGTTTGCTATACTATCACTGTTATCAACTTCGGAGCTACTGGAGACATCGGACGCCAAATAAGCCTTGAAATCATCGTCTTGGGCATCTTTCCAGTCTCCTGGACGCGTAAGTAGCTCAAGGCGCTGGTCGTCATCCTCCTCCCACGTAAGCTTTATATCCGTCTGTTGCAGCGCAAGTGTCGCGAAGATGGCTGGTTTGTACTGGTCAGGCACACTGTCGCATGTGTCTTTAGGTGTATTCGTAAACGTTGTGTCGTCCGGCACATAGCGAAGATCAAGCACATTCGATGATGTCTCGTACTCAAGCTGATCACATTGGTCAAAGATAGTACTGGCTGTCTTGACCGAATCACAAGTTACAATAGCATAGTAATACCGAAGCTTTTGCAGCTCGTACTTGCGCAGCTTTTCGCTATCAAAACCTTCCGACTTCTCTTCGAGTGTTACGCTTTTCTTCACGCCAAGTGGATCATCAGAGTCGTAATCTTCTTCGCCTTCTGGGTCTTCGCCTTCTGGGTCACTATTATCACTATTACCATTTTCGGTATCACTTTCAGCCAAATTTGTTCCTTTCTTTCCCGTCGCGTTCATTTTAGCATTTTCAGCTCTCTCGGGGATTTTCTCAATCGTACACTCGCGTGATTTCTCTTGTTTATCATCCCAAAGACCCTGAGGTCCATGTTGCTCTTCCTCTTTCTTTTTGTATAGCATTGAAAACGTTAGTACATCAATCTCATAACCAATATTGAGGACGCACCATTTTCTCAAGACCATAGTCCGACGGATAAATTTTAACATTCTGAACGGTACCGGTGGAAGGTGCAAACGACTGACAGAGGGCAAATAAGTCAACGGCACGAATACGCGTCCAATCGCAGTTAAGCACAGCAAAGCGCTTGGTTTCCTCGCCCATCGGTATCTCCTCTTCTTCGTTCTTATCATAGACCTGTAGCTCTTCGTTGTCGCTGTCTTCTGAGTCCGAACTTTCTGAGTCCGATTCAAGCTCTCCACGTGCCATACGGTTTAAATAGTCGAGACGCGAGAGTTTTTCATTGGTTTTGGCGACAGTGGTGCTCGGATTTTCATTATCGTCATCAGAGCCCGAGATGACAGGAGTCTTCAGCTTCACCTCGTCGTCTTCCTCGTCCAGATGATAAAACTTGTTTAATTCACTGTCTTTTTTTTCTAAACAACGTCCATACTTGTCATATTTCCCTTGAACACTTTGGAAACGCTCATCCTTAAGTGCAGCAGCAAAGCGCTGGTCGATCTGAAGTTTGCTCTTGCGCTTTGAGTTGCGCGCAAATCTCTAGGTAGTCAATGTCATCAGTTAGCCATGTTAACACACACTAATTGTTTACATTCACAAGGCACAATACCGGATCATTGTGCACTTTGCGGAAGCGCTGGTCCTCAACCATTTCGAGGTTGACTGGTTTAGTGAGTTAGCTTTTATCAACCAATGGATTGTATGTTCATTGTCCTCAAAATTTTTAATATGTTCAAATTTCGGCAATTCTCAACATGGCTATTACTGTAATAGTGTGATTAAAATTGTTGGCACTTTTTGATCCTCGCGAATCGGTTGCCAGCAGCAATAGCCGCCATCCATCAAAGCGGCCATTGACTGCGCACAAACCAGCATGATATACACTTGATAAATACTAAAATAGCGATAGTAAGTTAAAAAGTTGCATGAACAATTGAATATAGCAATGAGAATGTGCTAAGTTTATATGTTCGCTTCCTCGAGGAAGCGCCAGAAATCTACAAACTTTGATCAAACGACATCACAATGTTTTGGTTTTACGGCACGATATGAACATGAAGTGGCATTAAGACTGAGTTCGCCTTTCGCAACATTTACGACTAGGCGAATTTGAGGCTGTCTTAGTAAAGAAGTGGAAAATATGCAAGTCCATCCTGAGATAGAGAAAAACTTCGATAGTGATGGCATT